GAGGTTTCTTTTGGCAGGAATACTTCATGTTTGCATCTTGATATTCCTGTTTAAGTCTACACACTCGATATATCTCATCATGTACTACTTCTGTCTACATCTGACAGAATATTGACGCGTCAAATTCATTAAATTCACTCGGTAACATAATGTCCAACAACTATGTTTCTTCCTGCTCTTTTTTCAGTGGTGGATTATGGCCGTCTTTAGCTGATATATTTCACATGACAAATTTCATTTCTTATTATTTGGTTTACGACTTATTCCGATGATTTCTTCAATATGGTATTATATTGGCTTCTGAATTTTTTTACCATCTTTGGTAATAGATTAATACATGCAATGGCTTCTATTGTGATGATTTTGCCCCCAACAAGCCATACAAACCCTCAATGTGGACTGAAGCTTGGAGCGGTTGGTAAGCTGCTCCTATTCCTGTAGCTTTTTTATTGTTTCCAAAATTGTTGTGTCCTATGAGAGGATTCTTATTTACATTTTTAGCAATATAATCTTTAACTGTCTCGAGATTTATCTTCATTTATATGCTTCCTTAAAATGCAATTACAGGTTCACAGAGTTTGGAGGCACTATTCACGAGCGTCCAGTTGAGGATCTGGCATTTTCTGTTGCACGATTTATTCTGAAGGGCGGCTCCTTTGTCAATTATTATATGGTTCAAACTTATATCTTTTGAACTTCTATTGTTATTACCTAAACCATATCAATTTTCTTTCTTGAATGCTTGAAATGGAAATATAAATAATGGAGGTAATATTGTTGTTTATTAGTACCATGGAGGAACCAACTTTGGGCGTACTGCTGGGGGTCCATTTATAACGACCAGCTATGATTATGATGCTCCCATTGATGAATATGGTAAGAGCCTAAGAGGGAAATGTATCAGATATCAATTTTTATCTGTTTGAGTTCATTATAGCTGTTGTTCAGTCCTTATTATTTTATGAATTTTATAAAACTTCCAATGTGCGATACGTTTCCTATAGAATTATCACGTTTTATGTATCCTTTTCAGGTAAGTACAGATTTCTTAGAGAATTTGACACATTTTACGAATGTTTTGCCCTTTACTGAGTGTTGGTGCTCACATATTCATGTTAAACTCTTAGGATTAGTCCGAGAACCAAAATATGGTCATCTGAAAGAACTCCACAGAGCAATTAAATTGTGTGAAAAGGCTTTAGTTTCAGCCGATCCAACCTTTACTTCATTGGGAAGATATCAACAGGTCTTTCCATTATGAATCATTAGCACTCAACTATAAAATTATGTTTCAAAGTTCTCCCTATAACAAAATACTTTCGTTTTCTCTCTTGATACTTTCAGGCTCATGTGTTCAGTTCTCAAGCAGGAGGATGTGCAGCATTTCTTGAAAACTACAAAACTGATTCATATGCACGAGTAATATTCAATAACATGCACTATGACTTGCCGCCTTGGTCAATTGGTATACTTCCAGACTGCAAAAATGTGGTGTTTAACACAGCAAAAGTAAGTGAAAAGTAGAAATTAGCTCAATAAATCCTTTTATACTAAGTCTGTTATTATGACTATCATATGTACGCTATTTCTTGTCATTAGAATTGTGATACATTAAATCCTCTTAATATCTAATGTCCAATAAATAAAATCCAAACCAAGATCATCTAGAAGCGCAAAGTCTTGAATAGAAAAAATGCAAACAGGCAAGAAAATCTTGTTAGTGGCAGTATTTGGAAATTGATGCATCTTTTCAGAATTACTAAAAGCTTTTTGCAAGTGAAGTTTTTTTCTTTTGAGATCTATGTCAAAGAATTGTCATCATTTACATCCATTACCTTTTCAAAGTATATGTCTCCAATTCTGCTATTATGCAATACAAGGGAATGAATTTGTTGTTTTTGATAATGTTACCCATTTGTTCGCTTGGATTGGCTCTTTTCAGCTTCCTCTTTGTGGAAGAGTTTGCAAAATATGTTCCTTTTTCTATGAGCAGTGTAAATGGAAAAAACCATCTTCTTAAAAATTCTTTGCAAACATTGGTTTTCTTGCAGAAATTTTGAACTTTTTTTTTGAGAAACGCGGCAACTTCGAACATATTTTTGGTTGCACTAAGAAATGGCTTGCCAGTCTATAAACAATGTTGATTTTGCCAATGAGTTAAAATAGTTGTTATAAGTTTAAAAAAGCCTTCAGAGTACAGCAATTCTTTTTCATTCACTAAGAGGCATATCTTTATTCAATTTAGCTATAGGTATCTATTGAATGCTAGATGGATCAAACTTCAATTATCCATCTCCAAATAAAAATTCCAACTTAGACAGTAAAGGATAAAGTCATGTTCAAAAAAAAATCATCCAAAATGGCCTTTTTTATTACAGATTTATTTTCTGTTATGCTAACGGTTCCTTTATATGCATAATAGGTTGCTGCTCAAACGTCACTCATGCAAATGTCAACTGCTAATTCAGAGTCACTCATGTGGGAGAGGTATGATGAGGAGGTTGCTTCATTAGCAGAAACTTCAATGATCACCACAAATGGCCTATTGGAGCAAATAAATGTCACAAGGGATACCACTGACTATTTGTGGTATATTACTAGGTGGGTCTTGACAAAGTTTTTTCTTTTTTAGGGTTTTTGTATTATATTATCCCTTAAGCCTTTCAAAACTTGAAATTAGTCTCACAAATCATTGGAATTGCAATAATGTTCACCAAATCTTAAGTTAGCTTGAAATTATTCCCACGAATCATTGAAATTGCTATGAGGTCCCCCAATGGGCAATGCTTAAGTTGTTTTGGAATTAGCCCCTCAATCAAGATTAGAAGTAGCAATTGGTGGGATAAATTTGTAACAACTTATGAGAGTTAGGGGACCTAGTAGCAATTTCAATGAAAAGATGAAAGATTCGAAGAACTAATATCTAAAAACCTTTCTGTACTTTATACTAGGGATATTAAACATGCTGGAAATTCGTAAGCTGTTGTCATACTTTTATTCTTGTTCGTAAGATTAAACAGGAGGGTTTTAATAAAATATTCCATTAGTTGTTATTTTAAAGCCACAGAATATTTGAAAGCTATAGATTCAGTAGCGTATGACTCTTATCATTGTTAACAATTTGTATTGCTTCACTCAATGTATTCACCTGATATGTGCTGCTAGCAACACCCCATTAGCTATATTTGTCACTAAGTTGTCTTTGAGCTTATTATTTTTATAGTTGATTTAGTTTGTCACAAAACTTACTTTTAAGTCTTTACCAGCCAAGTGCAAATCTGTTAATGGGTTAATTGTGGATATTGTTGCAGATAAACTCCTGACTCCTGAGTAAATCTTTTTGAATCTTTTACCCTCAGAGAATGAAATTTTTTTTTTTATTACTAATAGCCCTCCTGAGGATCAAAGAGTTAAAAAAAAAACAACTCACTCAGGAGATCTGTCTGCAATAATAGAGCTACAGGGAGTATAATCCACAATCTGGCGATAGTACAAGGGTTCTACCTGCAATTAATCTTATATCAATCCATCTACTCTCACAGCGAATCATGCCTGTTGATGTTGCATGTAATAACCTTGTTTGATATGCTTTCTCTCTTTCTTCCAGTGTTGATGTAAATCCAAATGAAGGATTTTTACGAGATGGTCAACTTCCTTCTCTTAGTGTACAATCAGCAGGTCATGCACTGCATGTCTTCATTAATGGACAACTCTCATGTACGCCGAAAGATTAATGACTGTTACAAATCTCAAAATCATATTAATAAGTAACGGTGTTATATTTTGCTATTTAGGCTCTGCTTTTGGCAAACGAGAGAATAGGAGGATTGCTTACACAGGCGATGCGAATCTTCGCGCTGGAACTAATAAGCTTGCTCTACTTAGCGTGGCTGTTGGACTACCGGTAGCTTTTTCATTTCTCTATCAATTTAGCCTTCTACATTGAAAAAAAGGTTTTCTCAATATTAGTCCCTTATATCTTACATAGTTTGAAACTAGAATCTCAAAGGATTGAAATTGCTATCAAATACCCCAATTCTTAAGTTAGTTTCAAATCAGTCGCTCAAATCATTGAAATTGCTATCAGATCCCCCAAGTATGTAGTTATTTTGAAATTAGTCCCTGCAATCAGAGAAGTAGCAATTATAAGAATTAATTTGAAGCGACTTACGAGAATTGGAGGATCTAACTGTGATTTCAATGATTTGAGGAACAAATGTCAAAATAACTTAAGAATTGAGAGACTCAATGGAGATTTCAATGATTTGAGGGACTAATTTTCAATATAGAAATAATTTCTGGAAATAATACGATAAAACCCTTAAAAGATATGCTCTTATCATCTCGATATGTAAGTTATTATCTCCCTTTGTTTCCATTCTTTTATGCTCTATGCGAAGAATGTGGGAGTACATTATGAACTGTGGAGTACCGGAGTTTTAGGCCCTGTTGTTCTTCATGGGATTGATGAAGGGAAAAGAGATTTAACCTGGCAAAAATGGTCATATCAGGTCTAATTTCTTTCCTCATCAAATTTTCTTCTTACCTTGATTTGATTTGAAGATTGACAAAGCTTCATTTCTTTGCAGATTGGTCTTAAAGGAGAATCTATGAATCTAAACTCCGTAGAAGGCACTTCATCTGTTGAATGGATGCAAGGTTCATTAGCAGTTCAAACTCAGCAACCGATGACATGGTACAAGGTAATAAGTATTCAACCTTAATTATTGTTCTATTGGCACGTCGATCCAACGCTTGAGTACTTTCAACTTTTAGGCTTATTTTGATGCTCCTGCTGGAGATGAGCCATTGGCTTTGGACATGGCCAGCATGGGAAAAGGTCAGATATGGATTAACGGAGAGCACATTGGGCGGTATTGGACTGCGCAGGCACCAAAGGAGGATTGCAATGAATGCAATTATGCTGGGACATATAGGCCATCAAAGTGTCAGTCTGGTTGTAGCCAACCAACTCAACGCTGGTATAACAGAGCTCACTTTGATCTTTCCTTCAAAATTTCCCTGCAATCAAACATGTCCTACAAATATCACAATAACAAAGCTTGTATCCCTAATTTTTTGGGAGTTGGATCCCCTCTGCTCGCAAGAAGTAGTGTTGAGGACGCCATTTTCAATTTCAACCATTGATTATTTAATGGATGGTTGTGTATGAATTTAATCATTTCAAACGAACACTTACCATTACTCCCATGAATTGCACCTTTTTCCTATTTCACACTCAAGAAGACAAATTACAACCATACATTAAACAGTCAATGATTGCAATTAAAATAGTTGTCTCTCTGCTATTTTTTTTGAGGCTGACTATATGAATCCTACTTTTACAATCAGTTCTGTGCAGGTGTATCTCCTCCATTTAAGTCAATCGTTATCATTCTTCCTTATCAACTTATTGCGAAGTTTCCTTATGCCTATCTCTAGCCCTTCTTTCTCCATGATATTGGGTTATTTAGATATTAGCCCCTAGAACCTTTAAAACTGGCATGTGTCCCTCAAATCCTAAGGGGTCTTGGTCCGTCAATGACCAAATTACCCCCTTAGCTATTTTCTTTTATTTTTTATTTTTTATTTTTTATTTTTACAAAGGGGTTTCTTGAGGGAACTTAGATGAGGGAAATTATGTTCATTAAGGGACCAAATTGCAAGACCCATTAGGATCTGAGGGACTCATGAGCAATTTCAAAGATTTGATGTAATATGGAACTACTGAAAGTTTTAGAGACAAATATCTAAATAATCCTAATTATAATCTTATTACTTCTCCTAATCGGTACATTCAATGACATCTGTGCATTTAATACCTCTAATTTTCCCCAAGCTCTCATTTCCTATCTCTAAGTGTATATTCATTCAGTCCACTTTAATGTTCTCAAAATGCGGTCTAATACAAAATATTAATTATCATAGGTATCATGTGCCAAGTTCTTGGTTACAACCAACAAAGAATCTGATGGTGGTATTTGAAGAGCTTGGTGGTGACGCGACCAAGATTGCTCTAGTGAAGAGATTAGTGTCGAGTGTTTGTGCTGATGTTTCGGAGTCGCATCCTATGATCAAGAACTGGCACATTGGCAATGACGGGAAGCCAGAAGAGGTGCACAGGCCAAAGGTTCACCTCCATTGTCCCTATGGGAGGACAATATCGGCCATCAAGTTTGCGAGTTTTGGTACGCCGGTAGGAACATGTGGGAGCTTTGAGCAGGGAGCTTGTCACACACCAAAGTCCTACTACACCCTTGAAAAGGTAAATATTTAAAAGTTGAAGACACATGTCAATGCTCTTTAAACTATAGCAGTTAAAAGAAAAACCTGCATCTCTCTATTGATAATTGCACATAACCCTCATCTATCCCTTCAATTGCATTAAACACACCTCAACTCATTTACTAGCACTTAGTCCCCTCTTA